AAGAATAATATCAGGATACTATGAAAAATGGTACTCCAACAAATTTGAAAACCTAGAAGAAATGGACAGATTTATAGAAACATACTACCTACCTAAACTAACACAGACTAAGGTAGAAAATGTGAACAGACCCATCACAAAAGAAGAAATTGAACAGGTCATTAAAAAATAAACTACCAAGAAAAAAAGTCCTGGCCCAAATGGCTTCACTGGCAAATTCTACCAAACATTCAGAGAAAAGCTGACACCAACACTACTCAAACTATTCCACAATGTAGAAAAGAAGATAAAATTCTCAAATTCATTTTATGAAGTGAGCATAATCTCGACACCAATGCCAAAGACATTACTAAAAAAGAAAATTACAGACCAATATTGCTCATGAACATAGTTGTAACAATTCTCAACAAAATCTTAGCCAATAGAATACAACGGTGTACTAAGAAATGACCCAAGTAGGATTCATACCAGGCATGCAAGGATGGTTCAACATTAGAAAAACAATCAACATAAGTAATCACATAGGAGTAAAATAGGAATAGAAGAGCAAAATAGGAATAGAAGAGAAGTCCCCAACATAATTTATTGTCGTTGTTGTTGTTAGGTGCCATCAAGTTATCTCTGACTTGCAGCGACCCTATGCACAGCTGAACAAAACATTGCCCAGTCCTGTGCCAGCCTCACAATCCTCACTATACCTCAGCCCATCATTGCAGCCACTGTGTCAATCCATCTCATTGACGGCCTGCACCTTTTTCGGTGACCCTTCACTTTACCAACATAATTAAGGGCATATATACAAAATCACTGGTCAATATTATTCTCAATGGGGAGAGACTGAAAGCATTCCCCTTACAAATGGGTACCAAACAAGGATGGCCTTTATCATCACTCTAATTCAATACTTATTGGAAGTCCTTGCAAGAACAGTATGGCAAGAAAGGGAAATGGAAGGCACCCAAAATGGCAAAGAAGTAAAACTATCTTTATTTGCAGATGATATTATTTTATACATAGAAATATCCCAAAATTCAGCAAGAAAATTACAGGAACTAATTGAAAGTTTTAGCAAAATTACAGGAAACAACATCAATGTACAAAAATCATTTAGATTCCACACACTAATGAAGAGAACTCTGAAAATGAAATAAAGAAAGTAATAGCCTTTATAATAACCACTCAAAAGATGAAGCTCTTAGGAATAAAACTAACCAAAGACACAAAAGACGGATACAAGGAAAACTACAAAACACTATTACAAGTAACCAAAGAGAACTACAGAAATGGAAGATTCTCCATTCTCATGGATAGAAGACTTAACACTGTGACAATGTCAGTACTACCCAAAGTGATCTACAGATATAAAGCAATCCTGATTCACATTTCATCATTTTTCTTTAAAAAAATAGAAAAACTAATCACCAACTTTATATGGAAAAAAAAGAGACACTTGATAAGTAAAGTACTACTATGAAGAAGGACAAAGCAGGAGGCCTCACGCTTCCCTATCTCACAGCCACAGTCGTTAAAACCGCCTCGTATTGGTAGCTCTGGTAGCACAGTGCCTAAGGTACTTGACTGCTAACCAGAAGGCTGGTGGTTCACACCCACCAGCCACTCCTCGGAAGCAAGGTTGGGCAATCTACTTCCGTAGTGATACTGCCTCGGCAGCCCAAGGAGGGGTTGCTATGAGTCGTGTCCGACTCGACGGCACATAACAACAACAACAACAACATTGGTACAATAAAAGACACACAGACCAATGGAAAAGAATTGAGAACCCAGAAGTAAATCCAACCACCTATGGACAGCTTATCTTTGACAAAGGACCAAAACTCATTAAATGTGGAAGAGACGGTCTCTTTAATAAATGGTCCTGGCAAAACTAGATACAGTTTCAGAAAAAATGAAACAGAACCCAGATCACACATTTTTTATACAAAAGGTAACTCCAGTTGGATCAAAGACTTGAATGTAGAACCTAAAACTATAAAGATCATCACAGAAAAAATAGGGACAAACTTTGGGGCTCTAATTCAAGGAACAAACACATTATCGAACATAACTAAAAACACACAAACACCAAAAAACAAAATAGATAACTGGGACCTCCTAAAAAGTAGACATTTACACACATCAAAAATTTCACCAAAAAAGTGAAAAGAGAACCCATAGACTGAGAAACAAACTTTGGCAATAACTTATCAGACAAGGGGGGTAATCATTAAAATTTGTAGAAAACTTCAACAATTTAACAACAAAAAGACAAATAATCCAATTAAAAAATGGGTAGTGGATATGAACAGATACTTCACCAAAGAGGACATTCAAGCAGCTAACAGACATATGAAGAAATGCCCAATATTATTAGCCATTAAAAGAAGAAACATCAAACTCACCACCATCAATTCAATTTCAACTCATAGCAATCCTACAGGACAGAGTAGAACCCATAGGGTTTCCAAGGGAGTAAATCTGTACAGAAGCAGACTGCCTAATCTTTCTCCCCACAGAGCAGCTGGTTTCAACCACTGACTTTATGGTTAACAGCCGAATGCTTTAACCACTGTGCTCCTCTCATTAACTAGTGCTTCTCTCATGAGCAATTAGAGAGATACAAATAAAAACAGCAATGAGATACCATCTCACCCCAGCACTAATAGCAACATTCAAAACAAAAGGAAACTATAAATGCTGGTGAGGGTATGGAGAGACTGGAACCCTCAAACGCTGCTGGTATGACTGTAATATGGTACAACCTTTGTGGAAAATAGTATGATACTTCCTTGAAAAGCTGGAAACAGAAATACTATATGATCCAGTAATCCCACTACTAGGTATACATATCCTAAAGAAGTGAGACCTGGGATAGGAATATATATATATATATATATATATATATATATATA